TGTAAATGGTTATTTTGAGGAGCTTGACGAATCAGTCTATAGAGATGGCATTAATAGACTGGAACACCGCTATGAGAAATGTATCAGCCTTGGAGGAGATTATGTTGAGAAATAAAAAAAAAAAATTTTTAAAAACCTTGTTTTTCTTGGTCAGGCCGGAAACTTATCAATCCACCCTCGTATAATGATTAATCTTTTATTACGATGTTTTAATTGTCAGCTAATTCTAGAAAATCCTATCACCTGCTATCTCATTTACTAGGGGCGCATCTACTTAACGGCTTTTTGGGCTGCAGCCCAGGGTCCCGTGGATACGAAAGACCCTAACCTTCATTGAAAACAATAGATGATATGGTAAAGAAAAAAATAGCTAACATTAAAAAAAAATCGATCATAAGGTTGGCACCCTTATCAATCAACCCGTGTGTGCGTCTATCGAACGGAACGGGAATTCCCCGTCGCCTGTTTTCGGCCGGAGTATTTTTTCGCGTGTGCGTATATTTCGGGGAACTTTCCGCTGCTTATAGCCCGATGAAATTTTGTTTTTTTCTCATCGTCAATGCACAAATTGACTTTGTTATTGTTAGCTCTTTTCAACTTTTCAGTAGCTTGTAACGTAAAAATTTATGTATTTGTAGGACCATTTTTGTGTTAAAATCTATCTAAAAGGACTTGTATAAGTAATCTTTAGTTGTGTGGTCCCAGTGTTGTGCTTGTTAAGGCTGATGTATATTTACGTACAAGAAAATACTACTTTGTTCGGTAGAATTACCCAGATACGCAACGTCATTATCCGGTCGGATCTTGAAGAGTGTACCGGATCCAAAACGGATACTAAATAAGGATACGGATATTCATACGGATGCAAAAAAGTGTATCAAACATTAGACGACTTTTTCCATACAACTTTTATTCATAGGACAATTAGCTCCGTGTGTATGAAAGATAACTAAAAACCATTTAGATGCCCCCAGTTAACACACCTTGACCATTAATATACGTATGTACATATACTGAAGCATGCTCGTGTATCAGTAACTATAAAGGAAGTGATTATTATGATGTCCCCCCGACATATTGCGACTGGTTATCAAAAAGAAAATGTGTAACTGTACAGCATAAATATGTAATACAACAGCGTAATGGCCCTAACGGTTTACACTAGCAGTTTTATTATATAAGTAGTAAACACGAACTCTGCATAATTACTGTATCATTTTCCAATTTTATCGGTTCCGATTAGGATTCCTGACAATTATGACGAGAACGTACGGCAGTTGAGAAATAACCAAGCACAATTTAACAAAAATATCGGTAATTGTACCTGTGTATACATATATACACCATGCATTATACAAAACATGGTTTTCCGCGACATAACAACACAAAGAACCTATACGTATAATTGCAAATACATTACATACGAGGTTTGTTCAAAAAGTATCGCGATTTTTTTGTGGAGTTATGTTGGTACTCATGTCTCACTTATATTAGCAAGTTCGACCATGTTGAATGTTCAGTTACTTTTTGACAGCTGTTCGGTATTCACCGTATAATATTAGGTTTTATGTTTATACATTGTTGGAAGTAAAGTTTTGTTAAATTGTCAATGTTTAATTTAGCGTAGCAACCCCTGTCAGTATTAACCTTTTTAATTTATAGTATGTGTAAAATAATGCCTCTTGTTCGTTAATTTTAACCTTTTTTTATGATATTCGTTATTTTTAGTTTCTTTGTAAGTTTCATTTTAGATAGATTTATAGCTCTTTTGAGTTAACCATTTTAAAAATGCTAACATTGTAACAAAACGCATGCCTTATCAGTAGTAGACGGCTGGCAAACCCACGCCATCCGTTCCTTTTTAATTAATCAGCAGTGATGCAAGTTTTCTTTAAACAATCAATAACTTCGATCGTAGAGTTACAAAAAGTCTTTCAAACGACTAGGTCGGTCTCTTATCGTGTTAATAATTAACGCACATGGTGTATCGCTATTTTCCGTAAGGCGTAACTCCTATTCCTTTAAGCAACAAAAACCCTCCAAAGTTAAGAACAAATTCAACAAATAATCAATTAATCACTAATAAATTAATTAAGTGTTCAAAAGTGTTTTTTTTTTAAAGCTTAAGGAATAGTACCGGCCTTTAACTTTTGTGTAGTATACTTCGACCCTTTTAGTGTCATTTTGCTAGGCTAGGATTAGTATTATTGAATTTAAATTTATTGGTTTATTAGGGTAGTTAGAAAATAAGAAGCACGCTTTCTAGTGCCATTATTTGTTTACATGTAGATATATATTTTTTCGTCAAGTCAGTTTTAAGAGAAGTTTTTTTTGTTTTGTATGCTCGACTATATTTCTTTGTGTATGATAAGTGTGGGGTGGTTTCTGTCAACCATTCCTAATAAAAGGGGTTGCAACGGTTCATTCGGAGAGATTCATAGAGATCAAGAACTAGAGAGATTCATTTTTATTCATTATTAGCCACTTTAATTTCCTTTATCTGTTTTTTCATGTGTTTTTTAAGTTTAAATTACACACGTTCAATTTGTATATATGTAAATAAATAGTTAATTTAAAAGCAAGTGTTTTCACTACCGAAAAGCAATAACTAGTTCGCTCGCCATTAATTTAGCGTGCGACTTGAGGATAAAAGAAAGTTATCTTTCAACTCCATATAAAAATTTCCTCAAGAGAACGAACAACAGCTACTTTGCTTTTACGTGTTTTTTTACTCGTCTTCGATTTTTGCCTGTTCCAAAAAGGGACAAAGTTGCATATTTGATTGTATACAAGGAGAAAACTAAATTTTTATGACAACGCAAAAATTACAATTTTCGATCTTGTGGTGTTTCCGTGACGTTTTTACTGCGATTAACGAGAGTGGTAGTTCTATGTCAAGATCCGCAC